GACCAAGTTCAAATGTGTTTTCTAACCAAGTACCCGCTTGTGGCTGTCAGCAGGTGTTTGTAATAAGGGTAATTGTGTAAAAATATGGTTAGAATACATTTTTTGTTAAACTTATTGAAGCTGGGATTTGAACCCTGATCTCTCACATGAAAGGCTATGACATTAACCACAAGACCGTTGATGCTGGGAGAAAGTACAATCCCAGTGTTGTTTTCTATGTGTGTAGAAAGAGGCAACATTGCCAATGACGATCGTTGACAAAGAACTGCATAATATTACAACAGTAGAGCAATATTATATAAAATGTTTATGCTTATAAGACAATAACATAGTAATACATCAAATTACATATATATATCAATATTGTAATCACTGCAAAAGACTGAGATTAAATATAATTATTAAACTATGGTGCAGTTCCATACTGAGTAGATACAGCAGGGGGCAGTTTTGGACCAATACAAGGTCCATTGACTCCCATTATAATTTATTAAACATTATATTTCTAAAACTATAAGTTGTACAGGCACCAAAAGGCATAGCCATCATTTGGCACAGGAGCTTTACAGATATAAATTACAATGGCAGCCCTAAAGTGGAGATGACTTGGATGGGAAACGAATCACAATAGTGTGCATTGCATTGGCARTGCACACTGATTAGACAAAAAKAAGCTAAAGGAAGCTGAAATTAGAACGGAGAAGCTAAAACGGCTGAACCAGAACAAAAAGTAAAAATATCAGTAAATATTTCTGAACATTTTGAAGGATTTTAAGGATGTTGACGACAGCTCCATTCTTTTTTTATGAGGAAAAAATGGTATAAAAAGTTGAAAATGATMATGTTTACATTGCTGAAACACTAAAAGTCCTAGCTTGAATGTGCTGAAAGAGCTAATTGTTTTGATACGTACGTAAATTGTAGAAATATCACAAAAACTGTGGAACGAGTTCCGTGCTGAAGAGAAACGAATCATGTAAATAATGAGAATTCTTTATAATTGAGTTGTTTTCCTGTTTTTTCACGTGTCGGTTTCTAACTTTAATGTCGCTGCAGGTTTGGAGCCGAACAGCCTCAGATTTTATGTCTCAGCGTGTTTCATAAGAAATCATTTCAGATTTGTTCACATCTAATCTGGAGGACAATCTTCCTCCCACTCAGACGTGGAGTGTGATTTCCACTCGTGAAATATCAGCAGCGACGTGTGGCTGACATTTAAAGACAACAAACAGAACAATTACTCTGATTCACGCAGACAAACGTTGAGTTTCTCTCTGTTGGATTTTATATTCGCTGGAGCCGACGTCACAAACTCACTTCTCATCAGATTTCTGTCTTTATTTGGTTTTACGTCTCCTGTCCTCCTGTCCTCCTGTCCTCCCCGTCCTCCCCGTCCTTCCTGTCCTCCCAGTCCTCCCTGTCCTCCCAGTCCTCCCT